ACAGCGGTATGTTTGCGGACATACAACGCTAGAAATCGGGTTTCGATACCCATGGTGGGCAGAGCACAGATAGCCCATTGTGCAGCTTCGTGCTTAACTTCTTACAAACAAACAAACAATTCATAGTATACCCCCCCCCAGTGGCACAGCGGTATGTTTGCGGACATACAACGCTAGAAATCGGGTTTCGATACCCATGGTGGGCAGAGCACAGATAGCCCATTGTGCAGCTTCGTGCTTAACTTCCAACAAACAAACAAACCATAGTATACCCTAACCTCACATTTCATAGCTAACTAAAATAAATACGTTTTGCGAAATCAAGCTTGACTAATAAAAGAGGCAGTCGAGGCAGTCAAACGTCGGTAAATACATATGTGAGCCGTTCAAAACTAAGATTATTCGTGAAATGAATTCGTGGCGTATTCATAGGATAATTAGTGGTAAAAATCGGTTATATTAACAACTTCTAATGTATAGAAAAGCCAGTGCGTTTTGGTAACACTACGTTGGAACAATGGCTTTTATGTCATGTTGCTTAGCAACAAAAGTATACCCTAATATTCTTGTTAGTCTATGTACTTAAAGTATAAAATGAAATGTATAGACAACAAAACTGGAAAAAAAATCTTTAATTTCTTAATTTAGGGTATCTATGATTAAAGAGTTTTTTTTATTATTAAAAACGTTGGTCATATAACAGAAAATAGCTTCATTTCGAAACGATTTAAGTTTAAAATTGAATCGATATTTTTACTTTCGTGATACATTTTATGCACTTGGCTCAAGGCTAGGTGATCCTACACTACTTCTTTACTTTAGGCTTATTATACCAACACTCGCTACACTTATAAGGTTTCATGGCTCCCTTGCACCCCCGTCACTAAAATCGTGATGGGCAGACAGTAATCGAACTATTCTAACTGGATAAATGCATTTTGGCTTTTATGACTCCTCCTATTTCGAGAAATCAAGTGTGATGTGACACACACACACTAGCTTTTTATAGGTGAGACAAACTCTTCTATGTGACACATTTGATCACACCTTATTAAATTATGGCATTATACGCGGAGAAGGTGGGATGAAAATATTTACCTTTGTGTAGACCTCAGGATCGAGACGATTCGTTTGGTACCACTTGGAAGTCGTTGCTACCAGCGGTTTAGGAGTTCCGTGACACACAGACACTGAATCTTATTAATTATTATACAGATTTATTCACCTCACTGTAAGTTACCTCATTTCTATACATTAATGAAAGGGGCAGTTTATGAGTAAATGACATAAACATTTGTTATTTATAATAATGCGTTGTTTCTGGATTTACTGTTAAGAAAAACTTTTTATTGATATACTTTCTGCTAGTAATGAATAAAAAAAACATTAATAAACATTTCACTCACTCTGTGGCTCCAAAACTTTTGGAAAAGTAGGAAGAAGCTGTTTGGATATTCTACAGCACCAAAATCCTTTTTCCTCTTCCATCCAGTCATTAGCAGCAGGCGTGTCATCATTTTGGATTAAAGGCTCCGGATGCGGACGGTCAGGCTTTTTTTCTTTTTTCACCTCGTCATTAGAAGGTGCTGTGTAAAATTACGTTAGTTATGGTAATCATACAGATTGTGTTGTACATTCATTATATTAATAACGTTGCCCCCAAGTGACACAGTGGTAAGTCTGCAATATCTGTGGTGGGCACACCAAAGATAGCCCATTCTGTAGCTTTGTACTTAACTACAAACAAAGAAATTTAATGACGTTGGTTCGTCAGTTCAAAATATAAGAAAAAAAACGGGTTAAGTAATGTCACTAGGCTTGACCCTTGGGTTTTCTTTAAATATCCTGCAATCTGTCTCTAACTTGGAAGCAATCAAATTCAAACATTACTGGAATATTATTACTGTGCAATATCTAAAAACATACGAAAGTCCAAACTAATTAACAATTGATTTACCTTCTACCTAACCTGAAAAACAAAAGACTTTTTCTGTTCAAAGTTTAAACACGGTGCCATTTCTTGTTGCTTATAAGGTAGGAAGTACTCGGTATTTTGACTGAGTAAGTTGGAAGTTGTAGTTAATGCTTCTACATAAATAAATAAAAACAGAAAGATGAGACCATACCATATCAAGAATGCAAGTTGGTCAGAAAGCAGCATATCAAGAACAAGTGGAAGGCATAACATATTATCCCACAGCCATAACCAAGTGACTGTTTTCTGCTTATGAACAGGGCACAATCGTTCAGAGGGACACCTGTGCAACAACAAGAATTTTTGAAATACAGCAGACAACCCCTGTGGAATCAACGAGGAAACTCCAGAGTATATCTTACAGCAATGCCCTGTCTAGAGATAGCAGAATGAGAGACATCATAATCAGCTGATAACACCTTGTAGGAGAAGCTGTGTGGTAATGCAGAACAACTCTGGGTGACTTGTTATATGTCCCGTACATATACATACAAAAATGTGGGATATGTCCATTTTTGGTCATTTTAGGGGGGAGTCAAAAAGTTAAATAAACCCATAATTTTAGGGGTTTTGCTCAATTACTTAGTCTTGTTTCGACCACGTTACATGGAATTTGGTACAAAGATACTCTTTGCAGGTCTCAAATAGAAATACTGACATTTTTGGAATTTTTGTCTTTTGCTCAATTTTTCAGCGAGGAAAGCAAAATTTTGGGTTTTCGTGAACTATTCATGTGTATGTCAACCATCTTACATGGTATTTGTTATAAAAAATATCTTCTTGCAGGTTCCAAGCAGTGATATAGACAGTTTTCGATTTTTCTGGTGTCAAAATTGTCCATGTTGGGATTGCGTGGCGGAGACATGTTGCATTCACCAGCGAATGTTGGCTTTTTTAATACACATGAAGTGTTCTCGTATATCGTTTGTAATGATTTATAACACTAAATGAAAGACGCTACGTCAGTGGCATCACAAACAGGGCTAAACTGCTGGACACAATGGCTGTATCTCTCGAGATCCATTTTTACCCAAAAACTCTTCGTACGTTACAGGACAGTATAAATTCCAAATAATTGAACTGCATGGATACTTTACGTAGTTATAATAAAACCAATAAAGAAACGTGAAAAATCCAAATTTATAAACGTGTTTGTTTAGTAATCAATTGAATATTTTTGTACAAATACATTCCAAACTATATGAGATGTTGTACAAGTCGCTTATAATTGTGTTTTACATTCCAAACTATATGAGATGTTGTACAAGTTGCTTATAATTGTGTTTTACATTCCAAACTATATGAGATGTTGTACAAGTTGCTTATAATTGTGGTTTTACAATAACATTTCGTTTAACTTTGATTACAACTTAAGTTAGTTTCATTCAAAGTTACTACTCACAACTATTATTTACTTTTGATTTAAATGTATTCCGGCCATATATATATATATATATATATATTATTATCTGTTTCCCCGTGGAGTGAAAGAGTAAGTTTCCGGAATTGAAATGTTAAAATCCGGGGTTCGATTCCTCGAAGTAGACAGAGAGAAGATAGTCCAATGTTGCTTTGCGTTAAAAATTAACTTATGACTGGCTGTTTTACAAAGGTGTTGTAATATAACGTACATTGCTTTATAAGCTGTTTAAGTAAAAAAAAAGACAGTTTCCATATTCAGTGGTACTTTTATCTGTCATGATCCTCAGACTTGTTTCTGGTTTGATGTAGGCTTAAATTATAGCAAATATCTCTGATACTCCAAATATCTGGTGTTGTATAAGTAGATATTCAAATCCAGTTTCATATAAAACGTTTGTTGAATTTCGCTATTTGAAGGCTTTATATGCTAGCTGTCTCTAATTTTGAAGTGATAAACTTGAGAGAAGGCAACTGACCAATACAATCCACCACCAACTCTTGTGCCACTCCTTACAAACGAATAGTGTAATTGACCGTAAAATTATAACGCTCCTTCCCCCCAAGACTGAAAGAACAAGCATGTTAGGTGACGGTATTCAATCCCGCTAGCAGCAGACTGCAAGTTGAGTTCCCTAATCACCAAACTATGCCAGGCTAACTGTAAATTGTAAAATCCAATGATTTCCCATTTAATATCTGATTTTACCTTTATCTCTGGATCCATCGATTTTACACTCTAAAATGTTTGGACGTGCGGTACATAGTTTAAGCTTGATAAATAAATAAAAACTGATACAATAGAAGCATTTCCATTGAACTTCGACAATTACACTGACATTTCTTCAATAAATAGTACAAGTTCTAATAGCTATTAAGATTACCTGGTTACCATATTTGATAAAGGTAATATTTATGAAAAACAAAGCGACTAAAATAGTAAAATTATTACGAAGAAAACATATTAATTTTTTTATTAAAAATAAATATATTTAATACTTTGTTTCCTTTACTTACTTGAGGGTGGCGTTGATGATTGTACTACAACCCTTTCTTTCACTCGATAAGCTCTGTCGGCGAACGTTTGTACCAGTCGGTGAATACCGCGGTACACAGAAGAAGCTTTATCAGAGCCAGTCCTGAAATCATTCATCACATAACTGTGAACGACCCGTACACGATTCTTTAAACCAAATAGAGTCATGATGTAAATTTAACACCAGATATAATGACCACATACATCTTTATATATCTGACATATATAAATATAACAAGCCCCTACACTTGCTACAAGAGCTGACAGACTACAAGAGTACACTTGGATACTATACGTTTTCGAGATCTTTAAGTTACAGTAATTAACGGCCACATAGTGGTGAAATCACGGGTGAGGACTTGTGTTAATTCATGTTCATTTAAAAGGAAGGGGAGGAGAAGGTAAATAAAGACATATAAAACTCGTTATTGCCGAGTACGATGATAATATTGTCATATTATGGTCTTTGTTGTGAAACCCTAGATTTAAACAGATATAAATATTCATAAGCCTAAAATTTGTGTTTGTTTGTTTTTAATTATGCACAAAGCTACACAACGGCTATCTGTGCTCTGCCCACCACTGGTATCGAAACCCGGTTTCTAGCGTTGTAAGTCCGCAGACGTACCCCTGTGCCACTGGGGGGCGTTTGTGATTGAAAGATGTGAAATGTTTTTTTTACACCTTAACGTGTTTTTCTTCATAAATCAAATGTTTGGAATAGACTCTAACGTAGGCGTAATTATTCTTTTTGACATCAGCCCTGGCGATGCGTAGGCATTTGTCTCCTTAATATTTTGATAACTGTCTAATTTTCTCTCGTTGAGTCTAGGTCGCTTTAATTAAACAAGCGGAAATATTACTTTTCTTATTCACACAAAAGGTAAGCATTATGTAATCGCTGTCATATCAATATAATCTTCTTAATGTTAGTCTTAATTGATGCGTGGTTGGGAGCTACTACCTGTCACCCAAGATGGCGGACAGAACGTTTGTGACATCAAGTTTAAATCCTGTATTAGCAACATTTAGCATAAACATATAAAAAGAAAGCGTATATACAGAGAATATATATATATATATATATATACACACGTGAAAGTGTATAAAAGTGTAATTTTTCTCAGTACTGGTAGCTGCGTAAAATTTGTAACGTTTCACTCGTATATATTCTTGCAAGCACCTCTTTTGTTAAATACAATTCCGAATAATGTAAACAATTTCGGCAAATGAAGAGAAATCATAATCTGTCTGAACTTTCGTGAAGGTTAAATAAAGAGTTTTGTCCTACTAAACTCAGGAGCTTTTTTTAATAATATAACCCTAAGATGTGTGATCATTCTATACTAATATAACTCTCATTAGAGTGATCAGTCAGTAGTAATATCACCCTCATTAGGGTGATCAGTCGGTAGTAATATAACCATCATATGGGTGATCAGTCAGTAGTAAAACAATTATCATTAGGGTGATCAGTCAGTAGTGATATAACCCTCATTATTGTGATCAGTCGGTAGTAATATAATCATCATTAGGGTGATCAGTCAATAGTAATATCACCCTCATATGGGCAATCAGTCGATAATAATATAATCGTCATATGGGTGATCAGTCGGTAGTAATATAATTATCATTAGGGTGATCAGTCGGTAGTAATATAATTATCATTAGGGTGATCAGTCGGTAGTAATATAATTATCATTAGGGTGATCAGTCAGTAGTAATATAACCCTTATATGGGTGACCAATCTGATTGCGAAATTTACATATATATATATATATATATATAACTAAACGCTTTTATGCAAATGATAGCAAAAACTAAAAATTTCATTTGTTCCACTTTCACTTATAACAGAAAAGGTTGGTCGGCGTGTGCATTATGAAAATACGTGATATTTTACAATATATTTCCTGTTTTTTTAATTATTAATTAAAGTTCAGCAAAGGTAATTTTGCTAAGTGATAATGTGCAGTGCGGACGTTTACCTAAAATATTATGCTTGATTTTTGTTACTATTAACTGTGTTAAGAAATTATTAAGTGAAAGTGTTTATAAAAAAATATTATTATATCTCCACAGTGACACTGTGGTATGTCCGCGGACCTATACCGCTATAAACCGGGTTTCGACACCTGTAGTGGACAGAGCACAGATAGTCCTTTGTTTAATTTTGTGCTTAACAACAAAAAATTATAAATAAAAAAATCATTGAAACGGCATAAGATGTAATATTCAAACAGTATAGGAATATTCAGAAATATTCTATAATTATACATTTTAATTTCTCAACATTAAAATGTATAATCTGTGTACGTTTTCTATAACAGTTAAAGGTTCATGATTATTATTTTTTCGATTCAATTATAGTAACACACTGCAAATTATTATTATTGTTTATTATATTAACTTTCTTAGCACTATATCCAGATAATCTATACCAACACTGGCCGTCATAAACATCATTATAAATATAAAACTCACTTTTTTTTGCTTGAATTGTTATGTAATTTAAAAAGACGTCAATCTATAAACCAGGGTTTGGATGTTTCCACTTTCGCCACTACATTTTCAACAAACCATTTACCTCCAATGCTCCAAAATATGCGTATTCGATCTCTAGTGAAGCAGTTTTCTATCCACTAATAACATACAACGATTTTTATGACGCCTATAAAACTTCTATAAAAGGACATATAAAGTCCATGGAAAAAATACTATCCACAAGAAGTAGTTTCTGCAAGTAAATTGTTTGTACATTATCAGGTTTTTATATGTGTATGGGCTGGATTCTTTACAGCAGGTGTCTGTTACTTGTTGTCGATAAATTTCAACGATAAAGAAATAGCACGCAGTTTACTTGTTTTAAAATAACACATTAAAACAACTCAAACGTATATATACACATGTTTGTTATACTGTTGGTTATCACAATTGTATCCAGAGCTTTAAATAATTGTCTCTTTTCCATCACAGTCCACACAGTCTGGTTCAATTACTTTGGAACACAATTGACAAGACAAATTATTCTTCTCTACTCTGTTATTGCAATACAATCTGTGATAATTCACTTTAAAAATCGCCACAATACACTGTTTATGGATAAACTCATAATCACGGAGGCTAGATCTTATTTACTTGAATGACATTTTGTACGTGTATTCATATACTGACAGAGGCCTGGAACTACAAAATATTATGATACAATAATACTCAATCAAACTTGCGATAAACTATCACTTGTAAAGATAAGTAAATTTAACACTATATCAAACTTAAATTGAAACAGTCGTGTACATTTCACATACGTGTACGACACATGGACCTGAAAATATTGTACTGGCAAAATTAACAATTTTCAAAATACACATACCCGTTAAAAATGCATCTAACTTCTAATATAAAAGAAGTTCAAAATCTTAGCTGTTAGTGTAAAACTACGCAATGGGGTATCTACAGTCTGTCTACGACGTGGAATTGAACCTCGGATTTTAGCGGTGTAAGTTCGGAACTTACCACTGATACACGGGTGAAATAATTCGGAATAAAGTGGAAATCAGTGTCTTAATTTATAGCTTACCAGTTTAAGTCTAGGTAGCTGGGCTGTGCCGTAAATGATATTATCCAAAATTAAGTTTAGTAGTCTGAGTTATGCCGTAAATGTTATCTTACCAGATAAAGTCTAGTGAGCTGGACTTTGCAATGATATCATACTAAATTTATTTTAGTAAGCTGGACTGGGCCTTACATTATATCATACAAGCTTAAGTCTAGAAAGATGGATTGTACAGTTATGATGTTATACCAAATTATGTTTAGTAAGCTAGGCTGTTTCATGATAGCACCCCAAGTTAAGCCTAGTAACTCTGGCAGTCCCTTAAATTAAATCATACTAGTTTAAGGCTAATAAATCTCATTAGGTTGAACTGGACCCTAAATATTAACATATTCGTAAGAAAATATAACGGATAGTTAAATTTTTGTATGACATCATATTAAAATCTTTATGGCTCAAAACAGAACTTGTACAAATAAGAGAAGTAAAACGAACAACTGAAGTGCTTCTGAAATTTGTCGCCTTCAATAAGTAGTTCATATGATACGTCGATATTTGAAAAATTACCGTGTAACTTTATTACGCTACTAGATTTCATACTGCCCTTGTTACACTTACGAAATTTGATATCACGTGTACTGAAGCCCTCTAGACCAATTACTAAAAAAAAAGTAATGATAGTAAAAAGACTATCGTGCCTTATAGTCTCAACGAATTACAGGGTTCTAGCCTTTAACAAAAATCGAACAATTTTCCTGCAGTTTATTGAACTAGGCTTTAGTATAACTGCTGAGAATCTGATACACACAGAGATTACTTTTTTTTCTCCTCCACACCCATATATATATAAGCACTATCGTCTTTACTGGTTAGATACTTTGTTATATATATATACACACACACATAATTACAGCCACTATGAAAATCACTTCATGAGAAATCGATACGAACTAAAAATGTGGTTTAAATTGTCGCTGCTGTCGTGAACAATTTTTGGTAATTGTTGGTTAAAAGAATGAGCGTTTCTCCTTATACTATTCTAGACATAAAATATTCAACACTTAACAAGTTAGAACTTATTATTTCTAATAGAACAAAAATAAGTTTTAAACTTCAATATAACAAAAATTATAAAATATAACATTTAAAACAATAGTGCTGTATTGAGTTAGGCGAAAGTATGATTTCGAGCTACAGTAATATAAAGTAGGAATAGGCTCATGTTGACGATAAATTAGGGTTTTTAAGGTTTTTTATATAATTCATTTATAAACCTAAGCTATATTCATTCAGTTTTCTCTGTCTCAAATTTCATTTTTCATTGTTCATCGGCTGTCTTCCAAAGATTTGATCATTTTTTTCTATTTACTGATATGGAAATCAATTAATAACAAGGATAGACTTTAATGTGCTTTCTAACCATATATGTTGAAACGTGTTTAATCACTGTATGTATACTTTACTTCTTCAAAAATGTATTTATCAATGTTATTTGTTCAGATCAATTCCTCAGAAAAATATATTTTACGTTCATTCTTTTCATAAGGTTTTAAAGTCATCCAAATATCTCCTTTCGTGTAAAAAAATTGCTTTATATAAAAATATAAGGTTTGTGAGATTATTTATTATTTGATTTTCAATAATTATATTTAATATATATTTTTTGTAGTTCATAACAGAGGTCTCTAAAAATCCTAGATAAAGTTATTCTGCCTCTCTCTTTAAAAAATAATTCCTATTCTTAATACACATAATACATGCCAAATAAAAATGAAAGTTCCAACCTTCATTTTATAAAATTAAAAATTGTCCTTTCATCAGCTTTCGTGGAATAACATACATTTAGCATTTGTTTCAGTACTTTCTTAAGGGCCTTGTAAAATAGAAAACGTCATAAGCTTACCACAAGTACTTTCTTAAGGGCCTTGTAAAATAGAAAACGTCATAAGCTTACCACGAGCCTTCTTCACTGTGCAGGGATTCCAACGAGCATGATTTTCTCCTATAGCTATTTCTTGTAGTTTCTTTTGATGTTACTGGCGGCTCAATTATGATGGTTGGAATACTTCCTTGAGAATAAGTCTGCAAGGAAGACATTCGATCTACCACAGGCATTGGTAAATCTAAGGAAAAATGAGTTTATATTTTTACATCAAAAAAACGGGTAATGGATTTTTTTCAACAGTCTGTATTTAGTAATGGAAAAAAAAAAGCAGAAAGCATCAGTAATACGAATATTATTTTATTTTTAGTTGGAAATATAAACAACGAAATATTAAAATAATTAAATGCTAATTTCGAAAATTTTAAATCTTTCAGCCCTAGTCCCCAGCATGTGGACTTTATTTGACTTTCGACAAACAATTTGAAAATGACTAACCAGGAACGTAAAAAAATAGCTAAAATACTTTTTTTAAAGAGCTATACTGATTATCGTTTTGTTTGTAGTTGTATTTCAGCGTTATTTATGTAATTTAGATAAACAACTTTAGCAAATTGCTTCAAAGGAGAGGTGGTCAGATCAGTGACCTAAAGCCAGTATTAGGATTAGTATTCAAGTACTGTCTTGGTAAAATACATAGACAGAAATGGATTTTTTTTTATCATTTTTTACAACTTTTTTTCGATATATGGAAACATGGTCTTCCTTCTCTTTTAGAATTCGTTGAATTCCTTAATAATCAAAACCTCGACATAAAGCTCACACTTACCCATACTGATAATCCGGAAGTGTGTACCCTTTCTTGATGCTATGGTCACTAAACTTATTACTACCGTATATTCCAAACCATGTGTTAAACCAGTTATTCTACACTATAACTCATACCATCCACCAGCTACCAAACGGGGTATCATCATCGGTCAACTTAATAGGATTGAAAAAATCTGCAACACCATGGACGGTAAGACGCAAGCCAGGATCAAACTTCAAAAGCTACTTTTGTCCAATGCATTCCACAATTCTGACACACAAGATTTTAACAGAATAAGGCAAAAGAAAAAAGAAACCACCACACCAAAATACTGTCTCATGGATTATGCTTTTCGTGGATAAACCTTTCACTATTCGTCTTCGTCAAGCAATTAGAAATTCTGGCTTGAATATCCACATCATACAAAAACCCGATAAAAATCTGAAGGATAAACTTATTCGTTCAACCTTCAATAATGATAATCCATGCAAATCCAAAATGTGCTTTGCTAAGACCAATGGCTTAGAGAAATACTGCACACTTAGGAACATCGTCTATGAAATGACATGTACACAGTTATAAGCCACATACGTAGTCGAATCCAATCGTCCAATACATGATCGTTTCAAAGAACACATTAGTTCCACTGCAAATTTTTACAATAAAGAAGCCACCGCTGAACATTATATCAACGCATATGGTATAATTAACAAGACACATTATCGGATTAAAATTTTAGATATTTGTGACAGCTTTCTTGACAGAAAATTTAAATAATCTCTTTTGATCAATCCAAACGCCATTCCATTAAAAGCTACAATGCATGGCCTCTATAATATTATAATTCTTTCCTTTTTTGTATTTTTATTTATTTATTTTAACATTTATTTTATGATCTGCGACTCTAACCCGTTTAACAATACTTTTAGTACGCTTCACCGTGCACCGTTCTGTTATATTGTTGTAGTTTTACACTTTTTACGGCTACTATCATTTAAAATCAGTTTTATAACCTGTGACGTTCACAGACCCTTGAAAAAGGCGTAAGCCGAAAAATCGGGTTGGATAAATAAACATTTATCTAAAGTTGTTTGTCGTCTTCATTGGAATCGGACTTTTTATCTCAATTTCAGATTGGAGGTAACAATAACAAAATGACGGACGGTTACATTTTCTCCGACCAAATTACTGTTGTGTAGGAAAAATACTTTTTCGTGTGCTAACGAGACGAGTATAAAAAAAAAAAGAGTCATTTTAACAAGTTTGCCCATTCTTATTATTAGATGATTTTATGTAAATTATAATTGTTTTTAATTATATTAACTTTTTATAGTATTTTTTGAAAACAATATATGGAATTTATTACTGAAAAAGTAAAAGAAAAAACGCCTTATGATTTACCATAAGGCCAAATACGATTTTTGAGTGTTCGAATTCTTCTACAGAAAAACATGTTTATATAGTACTTCATGACATATCAACGTATAAATCTCCATAAATTAAGGCATTTTCATTGTTCTAAATAACATAATAAAACAGTCTAATAGAAGAAGGGTAAAATTTCTCGTTAATAAAACGGTTAAACGTTATCGGTATTTCTTTGGTAGAATAATTTAATAACTACGTTTTAACCACAGTATAGCCAGACAAGCAACTATAGTACGATTTTTATAAAATCATGTAACTAACCTCCTTCCCTCGAAGACTGATTTTTGGGTAAATGTAAGTTTACTGTAGAACTTTCAGAGCACCGGTACTCACCACGCGCAGACTATCGGCTTATAAACCACCACATTTAAGTGTAATTATTGAACTGATACGTTAACACTCGCTATTTCCAGAACAGAAAAAGGGGGGGGGGGGGTTCTACTCTACTGGTGGTTACGTCATGTGAATTCTTAAAAACTGATTCTCAATTATCAAACTGTATCGAGCAAATATGCAATAACACATACTGTAGCAACCGCCTTGGTATCGAAGTTATGTTATATGGACTTGCCCTACTGACACTTCCCACCTCGTACCTTCCAGAAATATCATTTACCGATGAAGAGTTTGACGAAGAACTAGTGGTAAGTTTGAAATTAACCCGTTTTATATTAATGTCAGAAATATTATGTTGCTTTTGAAACTTTTTGATAAAGTAAAAACGAAGAAGTTGGTGGTTCAAAATACGCATCCAAAGAACTTAATCTTACAATTTATCAATTATATATTCACGAAATATTGTATAGCTGGATGTAAAGATGTGGAAATATAGATTAGCTTCAAAGAAAACATTGTTTATATCTGGGCTCAAAATGTTTATTATATATATATAAAACGATAACTATTATTAAACTTTATTGAGTGAACACTCATTACCAATATATTACAGAAGAAGAAAACAAAAGAACCGGAAGCTGTACGGAATAAACGCTTACCACCAAGGTAAGGTATTATAGTAAAAAACTAGCGGGACACCCAGCAGAGCTCATACCTCCGCTACGCAGAGTGGATCATATTCTGTTCTCAAAAAATACGAAAATGTGACTTTACGTCCGTCGTTATCAAAGAACACGAACCATTCTCGGCAGGACAATGAGGAATAATATTCTACATATGTCCACCAAGATTCAGCTAAATCCAATCACTTTTGACTGAGTTATAGAGCAAAAATAGTGTAGAAAATCAGTTCCCATGCTAATAGATAGGGATTTTTTGGATTTTTGTGACCTTGACCATCTAAAAACTCATCACTTATAAGTTGGGTCATAGTCCAAATGTATATATACCAACTTTCTTCCAAATCCATTCAGCCGTTTTTGAGAAATCATGCTGACAAACAAACACACACAGGTGAACCCATAGCATCCGTCTACCTTCGGTGGCGGAGGTAAAAACAATCAGAATACGCTACCAAGATATTAGAGAAAGGAAGAGTTAGAAGCTGTACTGAATGAACACTCACTGCTAAGATATTACTGTAAAAAAGAAATGAATCAAAAGCTTTATGTAACGAACACTTTCTACCAATATATTGCAGAAATATGAATAGTCAGAAGATGTACGGAATGAGCAGTTACCACCATGATAATACAGAAAATATCGCCAGAAGATGTATGAAATGAACCTCACTATCAAGATATTACAAAAAAAATAGTCAACGTTTTTGAGTGAGCATTTAATGCCAATATATTACAGATTGAAAAAAATAGATCCAGAAAGTGTAAGATTGAGCATTCACGAACAAGATATTAAAGGGAAAAAAGCTACAAACTATATCTAATGCTCTAAAAATATCTAGCCATTTCAAGATAAGAACATATGACCAGATTGCATCGCGTTCACACACAATCCAAACCACGTGAGGTATTTTGTTCCTGTTTGTGTTTTTCCAACTGTGCAAGCTGCTGGAAGTGGGGTAATAGTGTGGATATGGTTCTTTTGGCAGGGTTTGGATCCTTTAATTCCTTTAAAAGGGTAAACGACACCCAGGATGCACCTGAACGTTGTTACAGATAGTATATCCACCCCCCAGTGTTTGATCTGATAGAGGTTATTCCAAGATGATAATGCAAAATTCCAGGCTATTATCTTGGCTAAAGGTGGACCAGTACGATATTAGTTTGGAGCCCTATTAAAGTAGACAATTACTATAATTACAAATAATGATATAGAAGCTTTATCAAAATAAAATTCCTAATTATTCTATAAAACGAATTAAAAAGCAGAATCTATGTCAAATAGACACATAATAGCTATGTGTAGATATGGCTAGAAACTTTATGAAGCGAACAAACAGTTTGAAGAGCATTGAGAAATGCTATACTGAATGTTTGAAGTAGCTACAAATGATTGAAAATATTTTAATAAATATAACCACTCGTAATTCAAAATAACTAAACAAAAAATACGCAGACTGTTCTGAGGTACGCAGAAGTAAAGTCTGTTGTTCTGATGTAATAATGCCAGTTCAGTCTATTAACGAGTGACGTTGTTGTTGTCTCAGAAGTTTAGACCTTTCAATGTAACCCTGAAAAGTCTTCCAGAAGACTTGATAAGGCAAAGGAAACATTGTTTAAGATTTTAGGAACATTAGGTGTACAAAACTTAAGTGCAACAACTGACCAACTCATGACGAGGCTGGATGAATCACAACGATACATTTGACAATCGTATTATCAGGTCGAATGAGGTAATATTTCACTTGTATGGAAGAGTCAACAGATATAGCTTAAATTAGAGGAAACAAGTCTACCATTTCATATACCTGAACATGTTAGAGAACTTTATCTTCACACAAATTTCTTCCTTCCAACAGAATGAGGATCAGCACTTTGTTTTCGTGAGGTATTGCCAAGCCAATGGACTGGCCATAAGGGACTGTTGCTCTTAGTAGTACAATCTCAACTCCCAAATCTTACAAATATAGCTTACAACAACATTGAGGTTGGGCGCCATATAACTACACAGAAATTACAATGCTTTGCTTCGTTGTAAACACCTTACTGGGTTTTCTTAATAGCTAACTAAGCAAATATTCTCCTCATAAAGTTGTAAAATCCCATAACTTTTCCAAAATACGCAGATTCAGCTGCTATTTGATGTTAAATTAACTTATATTGGCTGAAAGCATAAATATAAATCTCCAAAAGCGCGAACCCCCAGTGGCACAGTGGCATGTCTGCGGACTTACAACGCTAGAAATCGGGTTTCGATACCCGTGGTGCGCAGAGCATAAATAGCCCTTTGTGGAGCTTTGTGCTTTATAACAAACTTCAACCAAAAGCGCGAAAAATACAGAAGTCTGGATGAGATAAAACTTAGACTTAATGAATAATTATTCACTTTTATTTATTTATTCTGCATAAACACAGACTCATGTCTCGGCAAAATTTTATGTTCAGACCGATAAAATACATTTCAAGGATTGGTTTAAGAAAAAATATATATAATGCTGTCAATTTAACGTATTACACGCAAGTCCGAAAAGCATTTCATTGTTTCTTCATATCATTTTAACATAATTGATTAAACAATTCAACGTTTGGTACCAAACAGTGATTGGCGACATCGGGTTTTTCGATA